CACTGAAAGTATATTCTTTGGTGCTTGGGTTGTATATTCGGTAGATGTCTGTTAGGTCCATTTGATATATTGTATTGTTTAATTCAGATGTCTCTCTGTTAATTCTCTGTCCTGTTGACCTATCTAATAGAGACAAGTCCCTACTATTGAAGGGTCTTGAAGTCCCCTACTATTAATGAGTTGGGATTAATCTGGATCTTAAAGTCCTGTAGTATTGTTTTTATGAAGTTGGTTGCACCAGAGTTAGGTGAATATATGTTCATGATTCTAATGTCTTCATGCTTATTGTTCCTTTGATCAGAATGAAGTGGCCCTTTTTATCTCTGATTAGTTTTAGTTTAAAGTCTATTTTGTCAGATATTATAATTGTAACACCTGCTTTTTTCTTAGTACCATTCGCTTGGCATATTTTTTTCCATCATGTCACCTTAAGGTAGTGCCTGTCCTTGAAAGTGAGGTGAGTTTCTTGCAGACAACAAAAAGATGGGTTTTGTTTCTTAATCCATTCAACTAGTCTGTGTCTTTTGACTGGGGAGTTCAGTCTGTTAATATTTAAAGTTATTAATGAAAGATGTGTATTGAATCCCGTAATTTTTATTTCTGTTCACATTCTTGGTATAGCTGTGCATTTCTACAGTTATACCTTCATTGAGTTTCTTTCTGTAACCCCTTAGGTATAGTCATTCCTTTCTTCAGCTCTTTGTGTTGCTTCCAGAACTCTCTGAACAGCTGTTTTGTGGACATGAATTCTTTCAGCCTATTTATGTTATGGAAGATATTTCTTTCCCCTTTGACTATAATAGACATTTTGGCTGGGTAAAACACCCTGAGTCTGGGAATTGCTGTCTTTCATCATGTCTAGAACACTCTCTGCTGTTTTCTCTTCAAGGCTTTACTCCTATCCATTTCTTTCCATTTCCCTTCTTGAACCTCTATCAAATACACGGGCTGTTTCATCCCTATCTTCCATGGAGAGTTTCTTTTCTGGTCCTATTTGGTGTTCTATATGCTTCTTGTATTTGTATGGGCATGTCTTTCTTTAATTTTGGGAAATTTTCTTCTACATCCTGTTGAATATCTGGTCCATACCATTATCTTGAGATTCTTCTCCTTCCTCTATGCCTATGATTCATTAGTTTGGTCTTTTTATGATGTCACACAATTCCTACACATTCCATTCTTGTGATTTCTTAAATTTTTCATAATCTTTGCTTGAGTAGTCTAATTTGTTCACTTTATCTTCTAGTCTCGATATTCTGTTTTCCATTTCATTCATCCTATTGGTGAGGCTTTCTCCTGTCATTTCTAATTGACTTATTGAGTGTTTCACTTCCTTCTTCATTTCAGCCTGAGTATTCTTTCAATATATTTCTAACTCTTCTGAATTCATTCAAAAGTTTATCCCTATCTTCTTTCAGTTTGTTGATTTCTTTATGTGTTCTTTAAATTCACTGAATTCTTTTATCATGTTTATAATTGTTCTTTTGAGTTCCATGTTCTGTGTTATCTCTAGGGGGTTCTCATTGTACTCCTCTAGAGGACTACTGGTATTTGGTGTGG